CGGTTTGGTGTCACTCCAGGCGCCACTGGAGGTCCATGAGGACGACTCGGACAGAGTTAGGCGGCGGAAGGCAGAGGCTCGGGAGGACGCCAGGAAGCGCGACCTAAAGTGCCTAAACTTTATTGTCAGCAGGGTCGCGGATTGTCAGCTTGAGTGTCTGAAAGGCGCCAAAACCGCGAAGGAGGCATGGGATGCCTTGAAGTCAAACTTCGAGCGGTCGACATGCCTCAGCAGAGCGGCCATCATGAAAAAGTACATGAGCCTGAAGTACAGACCGGCCCCCTCAACATCCCGGGAGTAATGCACGGAGTTTGACAAGACGCTCCGAGAGCTCCGGCAGACTGGGGCTGTGAAGGACGAAATGGACACAGTGCTGGAGTTCATTTTCAGCATGCCGCCGGAGTACGAGAGTATTGTGTCTGCCATACGGATCGTGGAGGCGTCGAGGCTGACTCTCTCGTTTGCTCGTCTGAGGATCGAGGAGTATGAGCAGAGTCGACCGGTGCAGAAGCGTGCCCCGAAAGCTGAGTCGGCTTTCTCTGCCAAGGGCCATCGGACCCAACCGTACTCTTGCCACAGGTGTGGTGGTCTCGGGCATGTGCGGACAAGGGCGCCGGAAGTGGGGTGCGGGGGGGGCGACTTGACCCCCCCAAAATCTGGTGGGAAGGGCATCGCCCCCCCCCACTTTCAGACACAAAAGTGCCATTTTGAGCTCGAAATAGAGAAAAAAATATAGCAAAGTCGCAAATTCTTTGATTTTTGGCTTCTTGCTCGCTTCGCTCGCAGGTTTTCTTAATTTTCCTCCATTATTTTGCCGTTTGGCTCGCTTCGCCCACCAATAAAGCGTGTGATTCTGCTCTAAAAATGGCAAAAGTTGTGTTTAAGTCTAGAATTGTATGAATTTTCGCTTTAAGCTCGCTTCGCTCGCTGGATTTGGAACACTTTTAGAGAAGTCTCAACCGTATTCCCAAAGAACAGAAAATAGTCACATTGACATCAAGTGACTGAAAAATGACAAAATTTAGTCACTCTCTTGGAAGGTGACATTAGGATGATGTCAATTTGACTCATTACAAACTACGAGCAAAACTAACTGGAATTGCATTATTCCTTTCAAAGTCTTACGCCATTTGGAAAAGAGGTAAACTGGCGATAACCTGTGAAGTTAAGATCTTCAAGTACACTTGGTCACGATGACGTCCGTTTGATATCATCCATGAACGCATTTAGTCAGCAATTGCGGTGAAAAATTCAGACTTCTCTGGTATTCTGGAAAGTCTATCGCGTTCGGGTGCTGAAGTGGAAAATACCAGGCATTTTTTCATCCCAAAGAATTGCCGTCACTTTCGAGTCAACTGCCGGGTAGATTCCCGACCGCTGGTCTTAGAGCAGCGGCGAGCAGTTTTTGGCCCGTCCCGTTCATTTTTTGTAAAAAAAATGACGGAGGGACGGGCATATAGTATGATGCCTGCTGTGCGTCCGTCCGTCCGTTCGTCCGTTCGTCCGTCCGAGGACTTCCCGTGGTCCGATCTTGACCAAATTTGGTATGCAGCCTCCTTGGGTGACCCTTAGAACCGCCCGGTGGCAGCAAATCCGATCCGAGCCCCGGGGGCGCTGCTGCAGGTGCATCATGGTCTACATGGGGTCGAGGAGGATCTCGGCAACGGATGCAGCTAGAAGGGCATGTAGGGTAACGTGCCCAGTGATGGCCACTTTTAGCGCACTGATGCGCCTTTAACCCCTTTACTAAGCGTCCCGCACGTCGTACCGGTATGAAAATTTCCAGAAACATAATAGAAGGATAGAGTAAAGGTTCCCAAGGGTAGAAACCAGCAAAATAAAATTTATTCTTTGAGAAAAAATTAACCAAACTATCAGTACAGTTTGCCCAGTAATGGCCACCTTTTGCCCAGTGATAGCCAGGGTCCCGGCCCAGTGATGGCCACACTAGGGTTTGAGCGCTTTGTTTTCGTTTTTGACAGTTATTGAACCCAATTTCAGCTGGTTTGCACCTTGTTCGAAGCTACAGGGGTCACTGTGTCTTAGGAAACGGAAATCAGTGTAACCCTGGGAACCTACCCTGGGAATCTACTTGTGTTTATACCATAAATATAGAATTAAAGTTAAAATTTCAAGTTTGCGATAGAAAAGATTTGGTTTCCGAAATGATTTGATCTCGAGAAGGTGAACATGTAATGTTAAGCATGTTATAGGTACAGACTTCAAATTCAAAGGTTTATCGGTGTCCAAAGTGGAAAAAGGTACAAAATGCATCTTTTTTCCTGTTTCAAGGCCGATAACTTCTGAAAATCAAGCCTGAACCTAAAACATGCTTAACATTTTTTGTTCATCTTGTTGAGGTGAACGCGTTTCTGAAATCGAATTGTTTCTATCGCATATTTAAAATTTTGACTTAAAAACAAAACTTACTGTACGTACGGAGTCTAAACAGTTTCCATGGTACCGTGAATTCAGGTCCCCATGAGGCAGGCGGAGTGAGATGCCAGGTCAAAACCAAGATATTTCAGGCAACAAACTAGACGGACATGCACGGCGTCGCATCGCTCGTTGCAAAGTCTGCCTCAAAACACTAGTGTGGCCATCACTGGCTGTGCACTGTTTTGCCTGCCCAGTACTGGCCACCACCCCTTTTCCCTCAAATGTAACGAAATTTCAAAAAAACTTGCATGTTATGGTTAACTTGCCCTCTTTCGATTCTTCTGACGTGATGTTTCTCTTGCACGGACCTCGTATTCACAAATGACAAGCGACGCCGTTAAAGCCTGCGCTAATCTGGGCCGGTAAGGAAAGCAACGTTCGACCGGCCGAGAACGCAGTGTTCAGCGCGCTGCGCCCGTGCGGCCGTCCCTAACACTAAAAAGCTGAAATTTTTTCGGCGTTGTGTTGTCAATATGTGACAGTACAAAACCTCAAAAGCTCAATTCTTTAACTAATCTCGCCTGGTGGGAAAGTCAGCGCAAAGTGTGAAGTGGCCATCACTGGTACCCTGGCCATCACTGGGCACGTTACCCTAGGGGTATTTTTGGAATCGGGGTGACGAGAAAAAACCAATGGTGCCAGTTTCGAGCGAATCGGAGAAGTTCGGACCCGGGTTCAAATCCCAGCGGGGTATTTTTGAACATTCTTTTTATTCGAGTTTTTGCATTGTTTCTGATGTCCTTGAGGGTGCTGATGACGAAAACTACATTTATTTTAACCCCAGACTCAGGTTTAATTCCCGTCAGGGTCAAACATAGGCGAAATTCGTACGTTTCTTAATGTACGGGACGGGCCAAAGTTGCCGATGAATATCGCTACTTTTCCTGTTATTAGATGTCTTCGTGGCGCAGTGGTGAAGAGCTCGCCCCCGGAGTCGAGGAGGTGGGTTCGAGTCCGGCCGGCCGCGGAGCGACTTTCGACATTTAACGGAAGGAGACACTACTACCACACATGGGTGGGACAACTAAAAAGGGGGATATCAGCCGATGAGTAGAGTCGTTTCCTTTATACATTTAATGGATTCGTGACATCATTTGACATCAACTTGACGTCAAAATTCCCTAACTTTGACCGTCGACAATGATGTCATTCTGACAAACATGATTTTGACCATTCTTTGATATCATTTGCCGTCTGGATGACAAATTTCTGTTCTTTGGGTTGGGTGTTGCCCCTTAACGGTAGGCAACCCAACAATTTTTCATAAAAATTTCGCCCCCCCCCCACCAGAAAGTACTTCCGGCGGCCCTGTGTGCGGAAGGACTGCGAGACTCGTGAAGAGAACATCCCCCAGGTCAGAGAGGCGGCTGCTCGTGCCCGTGGCCAATTTCAAAATTGGCGCTCCAGCCGGGGTGGCGGGCAGGCACATCGAGGCGGCTACGCGGAGAGGGCGCAGCCAACGGCAGCTACCCCCTCCAGAGGCGCTCCATCCATCCGGCCGTGGACGGGGACTCAGAGGCTTCGGTCGAGGTGGCCGTGGCCGTGGCGGTGGACAACAAAACAACAGCCGGGCCATGAACGCAGCAGAAGCTCCAGCAGATGACAACAACGGCGGAGTGACTGACAAGAGCTTCAGCTTCATGTGGAATGAGGATGACGAGGTAGTTGTGGTAGAATCTGATTTCGAAAAACTAACTGCTGATGTTTTAGCTCTACGAGTCGACGAGAAACTTACTGAAGTCAGGTTTATTTTGGACTCTGGTGCGTCGAGACATCTGGTCAGTCAGTCAGCTGCGATGCCGAAGGAACGCAAGCGGGCGGCGCCCGTTGACATCGTGTTCCATCGAATCTTGCCCTTAGTGGTTTACCCTCTTAAAGTCGTACTGCCTAGGCAGTCTAACCAGGCCTTTAGTAAAATCTTTTCGTTTGAACTTGTTAACATTTTTGAGAGAATTGCCGTGGATGAGGGGGCCAAAGACCCGAAGCTTAGAGGGAAAGCGCTGAAAAGGAAGTTAACAAAACTGTCCGATAGTGGTGCATTCTACCGCGCCCTGCAGGTAAGCTTTTGGCCCGTCTGTTGAATTTGTTGTTGATCCTGTTGAGAAATGAGCAATCTCGCCCTGGTGTGATCTCCGCCTTGTATCACTTGGAATCTCTGCCTGGCAGTGCAAGTGCCTGTCCGGTGTCTTCGTGCCTCCCAGTAGGCGAACACGGTAAGGGCCAGGTCGACCGATTTCCTTACCCATTCTCCCGTCTTGGTCCGTTCAAACGGACAGGGCAAAGAAAGACGACACGAAACTTCAAAATATCCATTTATTTGTAAGAACAACCCGCCTCCACGCGTAACGCTTCCGAGCTTCCCTCCCTTCTCCTCATTGTGAGGGTGACCCCCGCCCCGCCGAGCAGCCTCGAGCGGGGTTGGGCCCAGTGGCCTTAAGAGATTTTCCGCGATTGCCGAAGTCGAGCCGGATCCGCGGTCCGGCCGACTGCGTGGTGCACGTGCACTGTAGGGCTGGCAGTTGTCACCGGGGGACCGTCACCAAAGGGGCCAGTTATGCACATAACAGTTATTCACTTTATTGCGTTCCTGATGACTGACCGTACAGAGGGTTCAGATGGGGCCGTTTACAAGTGATCCCACAAGACCGCGTTCCTGAAGCTACCCATGTAACCCTAACTAAAACTCGCGGGCGCCCCTCAAAGAGCCTTAACCGCGTTCTGGATGCAAGTTTCCGCCTTGGAGATGATGTCCTTGTTGAGGGTAGCTGCGTAGCGCGGGAGACGAAGACAAGCGACGGTGGCAGCGGGAACTCCTGCCGTACTGCGAGCCTGGCTGCCCCGAAGACTGTCGACGGCCGCGCGCGCGCAATCCAGGTTTGGCGTAGTCTTGTTGGGAAAAGGGCGGCTGGGCAGATCCTTCATGCAAGTCAAGAGCCGCTTCTCCAGAGTCGCAAGCTCGGTCGGGTTGTACGGGTAGTCGAATTTGCAGGGCTACAAAGAAAGGTTTTGTCAGCGGCCTTTTATAACAGTTGATGCTGGTTTGACTGCTATACAAAGCCGATCGTAAAGGATTATTTGGCAGTGATCGACATTTCTTGGCGATCACTTTGCCTTGGCTGAGCGATAGCGAAGCCTGTTACTCAGGTGGGGTTGAAAATTTTTTCCTGTCTGCGTGCGTGTGTGTGTGTGTGTCCGCGCTACTCCTCCTGAACGGCTCGGCCGATCTCGGTGAGATTTTGCACACTGTTTGGGTATGTCCTTGGCTCGGCACACGCGAAATTTCACTATCCTAGCTCAACTGGTTCGGTTTTTATAGCCGAAAAACACCTAAAAAACGGCGAAAAATCGAGTTTTCTGCAGGCTTCTGTCTTGAAGAAAGGGGGGTCTGGGGGGCGGAGCTCCCCAGCCTCGACAAGTTAAAAAGTCAGGCCAATGCAGCCCAAGGCACGAAATCAAATGCTGTTTTGACCTTCAATCGCGCAAATTGGTATGCGGATGCCTGGAAAAGAAACCTAGCCTGCCGAAGGCAGGCAAGCGCCGCAGGCCAAGGTAGGTGTAACGCCAGGCGTGGATTGTCGTAACTGGCGCAGCATCGCGAAGCCTGTTACGACAAGACACGGTCTGGCGTGCACCTACCTTGTATTGTATTGACTTTAAGATCCGTTCTCTCATCCTGGTACATAAAATCATCTGTACATGCCACTGACGTGAGCATTTCTTTCTAAAAGGCTTTGCGGTTAAATTCCAAAAGGTAGAAAAATAACTCACCGTATTAGATGAAACCATTCGACGTTACGAGTTATAACTTAGAGGATATCTGCATTTTCCTTTTTCATGGGAGAGTAATGAATTTAACTTTAATCAGATGTAAGGACCTAGTGCTAGTTTTCAATGTAATGAAGCCAAACTCCTAGCAACCTATTCACTAACCACTCCCACTCCCAAACCAAAATAAAAGAAAAAAAAAAAACAGATTAAAAACCAGAATGTTACAGCCTCATGATAAAGAAAACGCGTCATAGAATCAGGGATCCTTAACCTACCTCATAAGGGCATCATGACGTTATCTTTAGAGTTAAAGTTATTACCCTTAACTTCTAACATCTTTTCAAAAGGGTAGGTTATTTTTTTGTCTCGAATTTGTGTGGATATACTTTTGCAAGTACTTTAATAAGTCCGTACCCTTAACCCTTACCGAACATTGTCTTATGTTACGTTATGAAAGCAGTGTTAGTTAAATGTTAAGTTAAGGGTCCCTTAATAGAATTTGGAAAAAACGAAAGTTTGAATACTATGACCGCACTGCTGTGTCTGTGTGTAAATTTTACATTTTGGTCCGAGCAAAGGAACAAAACTTTAAGAGCTTTACTTTGGGAACTCAAAGAAACAAAAGAAAAACTGACGCTCACTGAACAAGTTTCTTAGAATTCGAATCCTTCACTGTTAAAAAATGGTTGTACAGAAACAATCAGATGAGTGAAAATTTAGTCGTTCCAAAACATGGAATTTCATCATGAACCAAAGCGAAACAACTGTCGTTGACTCAAGTCAGCGACAATTTGTCGTTGGTGAGTACGATTTCAAGGTGAATGATGGTTTGTAGGCATAGTACTGATCGTCGTACGGGTTGTGTACCTTCGCGTCGACCTGCAGGAAGAAAAATTTAGCCGTTACGCAAAACGGTCAGTATCGAAGCAGCTCTCGGTAACAAGAGGCAGTTTCCTTTACAGTTTTGGTTCAAATGCCATAAGGTCTGAAGAAAATGTTATCATCTAATGTCACCACACTGAAAACTGAATGGCGAGACTGCTGGCCAAAATTTGGTGTGACAAAAAGGTCTCTCCATTGTTTTGGCGAGAAATAAAAGTCTCACCGTTTTTTGTCGAGAAACAAATGTTTCGCCAAAATATGGCAATAATTGACTGGGTCATATTTCCCGGTATCCAATTAAGTGGGGTTGCAATTATTGCCATATGTTGGCGAGACATTTGTTTCTCGCCCAAAAATGGCGAGACTTTTGATTCTCGCCAAAAAAATGGTGAGACTTTTGTTTCTCGCCACAGAATGGCGAGACTTTGTTTCTTTCCCCTAGGATGGAATGAATTCCGTTCGTTGACTTTTCATTGCACAAAGCAGTGAATCGCTAGATTACAAGCGAAGCGAGACACTTTTGTTTTTAACAAAGAGTGTGTAAAATTTTTCAAGTGGTTCGTTGCTAAGTTATGAAGGTCAAACCGAGGGTTCCTATTCAAGAAATCTCATCGAACCGTTCCCAGACAACAGATCTTATCTGTTTCCGTGCTAAGAAGCTGCTTATCTTGCACTTATCTTGGCTAAGTTTAAACAATTGGGAAAGCCACAAACTGAAAAGGATCGTGATCTTATTGTGTACTAGAGTAAACAAATATGTTACGCTTACTCTCATCCGCCCCAAATGATCAAACTTAGCGACATTCGCTTGCGTTTAGGATAAGCTTGTTTACCTAAGACGGAACATTCGATCTCAATACACTGAGAATCCAAACCCTGCGAGTATAGCGTCAATTGGTGCAATGCATTTGAAGACGTTTTCATTGCACGTGAAGTGCAATGCCTTCCCATGCATTAGCATTGGGCATTTTCGGGACGCATTAGTAAGGTGCAGGCGATGCCATTGCGCGTGTAGTGCTGCACTGTCTGGTAGACTAGACAATTTGCCTAGTACCAACGCACCTCAGCCAGTACGGCTTTTGGGGTACGGAGTACGGTTTTTCATAACATGGGCTCTTATGGGAAGCACGGTTTTTGGGTACAGTTTACAGTTGTTCTGTACACCGTGAGGTACGGTCTAGCCGTACCTTTTTCCTTGAAACGTACGGCTTTTTTTAACAGTACTTTGATGTAATACTAGTAAACAAAGAGATTCAATTTAAACATAGAAAACAAGAAGGCTGGTACCCTGAAAAGGTGGCCTAATGACCATACTTTTCTTTTTCACTTCGATACTCACGGAAATAAAAACATACTTTGTTCTTGCCATCTAATTATAGCTTTGAACTTTGATCGATAGGCTTCATTCGGTGGCTGCAATCGTAAGTCCGTTGCGGACACTGTCGTCACTGCAGGTTTCAGAACTCACCAGCACGTACGCCAGGATGGCACAAGCTACAACCGAGGTGGACAGGAACGCCATGGCTACAGGTTGCAGTATGGTGCTGCCACGAGGAGGCGTCCTACTTAAAAGGACGATGCAATGACTGAGCCACTTCGGACGTGTGTTAAAAACACGATCGAAGACACGACTTTATTACGTCATGTGAATAACATCGTGACCAGCGAGAAAGCCAACGTGAGGAACATGTTGCGGTATAAAGGCGCTCACCTGTACCCACTCGCTAGTTCACGACTTGACCATGAACGTGAAAGTAGCCCTCTTCCTGGCGGTCGTCGCGGTGAGTAGAATGCACAGTGGGCCAGTAGACAGGTGGAGGCGTCCAAACTCGACGCGTTTTGAGCTTCGGAGTTGCTTCACAGTTCTCGAACCGAATGTGTGACCACATCACTGGAATGCTCTCAAAGCGGGCAATCCATTGGTGGGGTCGCACGCTCGCGGCTTGAGTCATGTTAAGCGACTCTGCAGCTCAAAACGCGCTTAGAATTTAAGCTGCCTCCAGCGGTCTTCTGTTCCTGTGCGTGATGCGGTGAACCAAAATCTCACTGCACTGCATATGGTACATTTCAATAGCACAGTAAAAACTCTACGAAGAACCGCTTTGTAATACGAAGAAAATGAAGGCATTGTAAAATCTACGAAGAATGCTTCGTAATACGAAGCAAAACCCTTCGCAATACGAAGCACTTCTTCATAATAAGAAGCAATCCTACAATGCCTTAATTTTCTTTGTAGTTATGAAGCAAATGCTTCGTAGGCTTTGAAAAGTGAGTACGGAGCGTTAGTTCACGGAAATGGGAAGCTACCAGGTAACGCTAGAAGACTGACGTCCGAAAACCTTCACGCGCGATCACCTAGCCACCCTTTTCTACCCTCTCGAAAGCCAGAACGCTGCATCAGAAAAGGACAGTAGTGGTTTCTCACTGGCTGGTTTTTGTTGCGTTTCGAGCCTCATGTTCGGATGATAAACAGATGCAGAAAAACAAGACCAGTTCATTCACATTGCAACACAGCGATTTCCTCTCATTTATTAGCCCTCTGTTAGGCTAATAACTGAAATGATAGTCAGCAGTGGCTCAGGATATCCTTATTTATGTCGAAGTAGTCCACCGTGTAGTATGTAGTGTATATCTACATTTGAAAGAACGAGAAACTGAAAAAAATCGCCGGGTCTTATGGATTTCTTATGGATGTGTGGCCTACCACGACAGGAACGATAATTGTCAACGACCTCTCAGGAACCTTTTTTTTCAGGTGGTGGCCAATGTTGCTGCTGCAGCCTCTGTAAGTGAGAAGTAACTTTTCTTGCGAGAGGGTAATGTGAGAGGAATAGAAATTGTGTTCGTGAGGTTCCACGCAGAGGAGAATGACGTCCGATGTGGTACACTCAAAACATCTCACCAAGAAATTTCCCATATTCAAAGATTTTTTGTAAATTCACAACAAAACCATTGCAAACCCTTTGCTTTTCCAAATTCCGACACGTTCGTACTTAACAACATTCTTTTTGAGTGCATAATTACGAAAGAAGAGGGGCAAGCGTATTACGTGAGGGTGGTTTTCCTTCAAATTACACCGGTTTTTCTTTGTATCTTTGCAATGATAATACTAAAAAGATTCGCTCGATCTATTTAGAATGCCAAAAGTTCAGTCAATGGGGGTGCTTATAAATTGAGAAACGTCAAAATAATTTACGAAATTTTTTACACATATCGGTGCGCTTGAAGGAACAGAGTTTCAGCTTAAACTTTTTCAGGCATGCAACCCGTACCCATTCGGATACGGGTACCAAAAAATGGGCGACTTGTTCACGACAGTGAAGGGTTGTCTCAACAGCATCCAGGTGACTAAAGCATGTAATTATCTGAAATCCTTGGTGCGAGGAGGCGGCGCCTGTGTAATTTTGCCGGTCCCTTTTTCTTGTCGCAACTTTAGGAGACTTCTGACAAGTGCGCGTACGCCGCCATTTCCGGCATGATCGAAGCCACGCTGCATGAGCCCTACGCCAACAGCGACCAACGCAAGACCGTTCGCTTTGTCAGCCAATGCCTCAGGAGCGCTAAAGTGGCTGAAACGCGCATCACCAAAGCCGAGGAGTGCCTGGTCAAGATGAAGCCATGATTTCAGTCGACGCAATTGCTAAATAGTTCCTCTGGTACGAAAACAACAGCTGGCGTCATGATTAGACGAGAAGTTGGACCCTGACAAGTATGATGAATAAACCATTAGTCACACCAACAAAAAGTCGTTCGGTGAAAGGCTGAAAAATGCACTTTTTATTATTTCCATTTTTACACCAAGTATTAAGTCTTTTTCTGTATTTTTAATGATGCTGACATGACGAAAATGAAATCCATTTTGACCCCCAACCATAACCACAACTTTTATCCCCATTGTGTCATTGCGTCTTACCTCCTCGGGTACTGAGCCCAAGAATGTCATGCGAATCCTCTGACTCCGCACCCTCCTCAAGAGGTGGCCCCCAGCAGGAGACAAAAAATTGAATGCTTGCGATCATGCCAATGCGTATGGCAATAGCTGTCGAAGAAGCCTAGCCTGCCGAAGACCCTTCAAATTCAAGTCGTCTGTAAAGCAGCTGATGCTTTTTTTAACAGAGACTGCAGCCTCAACAGCTTTCGACAGCAGTCCGACTCAACAAGAGCGGTCCCTCAGTGCTCATGTCTTTGTCTCGATATTAGAATTCTAGGGTTAACTGGGACAAAACCAGGATGTACGTTGCACTTGTGGCCACTATCTGCAACAAATGAGAATACGCTATTGTACCGTCTGCACGTGAAAAAACGGCTCCAAGTTTTTCCAGGAATTTCCTGGAAATCACCTATGGCTTTACCATAGGCTTAGTGGGAAAACCAGGAACCGTCTTTACGTACATACACCTTTTTAAAGCCAATCAGGAGGCAAAGCTTACACTGACGATTGTAGAGCGGCCAATCGAAAGAACCCCTCTCAGTGAGACGACGGGCTTCCTGCAGGCAATGTCCTTCAGGAAGTAGTTTACCTGCAGTAACATGAAATAGCTAACCAATCAACATGTCAAATGTATATCCCGTCACTACACTTAAAGTTTGACTTGCCCTGAAACTATCGCTCCATAAAGGGGAGCAGGCTGTCACGCAGTTTAAGTTGCGGGTAGCTCGAGTTAAAACAAATCTCTATGAGGAAAGTTGGGCTTGGCTTTTTCTACGACGCCTACGCGAGGGAGGTGACGAGTTACTAAAAATTGAAGAAGAATCTGAAGAATGACCTGACCATGCTCTATCGCAATTTCTTTCTTCACACTCCTCTCACTCTTCTTTCGGTCACTTCTTGGGGCTTCACTTGCCTCAGTGCAGTCACTCTCTGAAACATCTTTAACTTTAGACGAATTCAGTTTCCCGGTGATTTCTTCTTATCCTGGGTACTATGTCCAAGCACAGACTTGACCTTCCTTTCTGCACTTTTCTGACTTTCTTACTGATGTCACTTCGAGCTTCACTGGCGTCAGTGCCGTCGCCTTCCGAGTCATGCTTTCCTGCATCTTCAGACTATTTCAGTTTATCTCGATCACTCTTCATTTCTTCCAATCTCTTCTGCTTTTCAACCTTCTCTGCGTTGCGCCGAAATTCTGCCAACGCCTTCTCTTCTTCAGTCATCTTCATCTGAATCACTGAGCCTTAATAACACTTTGGGATAGTCTGGAGATAAGACGCACTGCGACGGGTTTGTCCTCTTGGCGAGTTCTTGGAATTGATCGAAGTAAACAGCGTTCTTGAACATACCCCGTTAATCCTCTCGAAAACATGGACGTACAAGGTGCAGGCCCTCTTGGTACGCTGTCTTGTTTTCCCTTCCTGGACAAGAGAACGAAGCTCGGCGACTTTGACCCTCAACACGGCCAGCTCCGCGCTAACATGAAGGGATACCAAATCATCTGCATCGACACCGCCAAGAGTGTGATCTAACTGTAATCTTTCCTTCTGATTACGGGTAAAACCCTGCGGAAATTCAACTCCTCGGAGCCGCAACTCATGACTGAGTTCATCATGAAGAGCACTGAAATCCATGTAGGCAAGTCTTTGAGCCGGACCGAGGCCACTACTTTCCATCATGTCCATCAAAAGTTCAATGGGGAGTTTAAAAAAAAACAACAAAAAACAATGCTCTCTCGCCTCAAATTTCAAAATAAGTAGCAAAGGCAAGGCCTTCAAAGTCAAGTATTGGGAAAGTTCAGTTAAAAAGCAATTATCCCGGAGGATAATTTAAAGTCACGAATCCTCAAAATCACAAGCTAAGTTGCACTAAACTCCAGGTAGCCTTGCCTCTAGGCTCTCACTATCTTGCTGCAGACGTAAACTTATTCACATACACATGAAGAAACACATCATAAAATGGACAATGACAAAAAACACAAGAACGCAACAAAAAAGTACAATGAACACAAACAAAATCACCACATCAAAGGAAACAAACAACCAAAGACCGCACATCTTGTTTGTTTTCCCTTTCTTTCAATTGCTTTGTCCTACTGTATTTGTCCGGCTGCAAGAGGGTATAGGAGAAGAAGAACCGAAGCCAAACCTTCCACATACAGATTTGTTTTAACTCCAGCTACCCGCAACTTCTACTCCCCTTGCAAAAAAGGAAAATATATGGAAAATAAGTGTCAATATATGACTCAATATGTTTCATGCATTGTCAATATAATTGTATCTTGCTCAATATATTGCAAATTATCTTGCGCAATACGTGGTTTATATATGGGGGTATATCTTGGTGACCGTCAATATATAATGCATATATTTCCCCATATAATATTATCTTCCCGAAATGTATGTTTCAATATCCGACACGGTGCCCGTCGTGTGATGGGGCAGGGTGAGGAGAGCAGACTTTCCAAGTAACTTTTCCTTTGGCACTCGATGTTGAAAGGCGGCCATATTTCTCAAAATGATTTTATCTCGTAAAATATATTGACACCATATATTGATCAGGTGCAAGGTTCTTTTCTATGCGTTTAAGTCTCCAAGAAATTTTGAGAAATCCTGTTTAACAATTTAACTTCAAGTTACCCCCGATCATGGGGTAACTTGGGACACTCTTTCGAGACCGCTTGGAAACGATATAATCGAGGCAAATGAACCAGACAAGCATGAAAACATGGGGAAAGGGTCAAACTATGACATAGTTAGAATCCATTGGTCTGGGTTGAGAATCTTGCGTCTGGCGTTCAAAAAACGAGAAAAAGTGTCCCAAGTTACCCACGTTGACGGTACTGTTCTTCGTCAGACCTTAAAGTTCGTGAGATTTTCAGATCGGTGCACTCGCGTGCTCATGCTTCTTGTGACAACACGTGCGAGGTTACTATCATTCCTGGAACGTGACGTCACATTTGTTCAAACGTAAATCAGGTCACGTTCGTTTGAATGTCATGTCACATGTGTTTTGCAATCGTTGCTGAGTATGAATCAGCACGGGCCTTGTCAGGTCCAATGAGGCCTCGATTCACATTTAAACCAATGTGACGTGACGCCGCGTTCCTGGGCTCAGAGTGGTTGAAGTAGATTCACATAAAATTCCGCACGGTTACCTCGGTAGAGACTGCACCATCCTTGCCCGTAATAGACATCCTCAATAGATCCTTGAGGGGCCTCAAGAATAACTGACGAAGGGGGCAAAAAAGACAGAGCTCCATGATTTGTTCAGAAAAAGATCAAATTTAAAGGGCTAGTACAAGTTACAAGTTTCAGAGAGCAGAATAGTTAAATCCTCATTTGTGCACAGTGCAAAGTATGCGTTTTGTTCTTTTCGACCCGACCGACCCTTACCACCCCTCTCCCTTAAAACCTTACGAAGTATTTTGAGCATACATACGTACAAACTGATTTACTTTGTTTTACGAAGAAATAGTTCGTAAATTACGAAGTATGTTATTTGTGAGCTTATGTATGCTCAAAATATTTTGTTCTAACATACTGCTTTGCTCGAAGGCCTGAAATAGTTTCTAAGGTTTTCTCAGTGCCCTCACCTGGTCGACGACGAATTGCGCCACAAAGCACAGCCCGCAGACGCCGCCGCCCGCTGTGAAGAAGATCAAGGCGTTGGCCACCCCGCCCGACCACACCCGTTGGGATTGCAGGATGTCCTGCTTGGCATGATGTTTGTTGAGTTTTCAAATATGTTCAATAAGCAAATTTGCAATTTTGAACTACCGTATTTACACGCATATAACCCGCACACGCATATAACCCGCAGCGGGTTTTGGAGTGTCCAAAAAGGTGAAAAATCGTTTGTTGACGAATTTAACCCGCACCCGCGACAGGGAACAAGGATGACGGCTACCCCCTGTTTGAACTGGCGGCGCGAGCCGCCACGAACCGACAGAGGGCAGCACCGTCGCCTTTTACCCTTGCGCTTCTCGCGCCGCGCCCCGACCCCTGCTTCGCTTACGCCCCCTCCCCTCCCTCCCCGTGTCCTCAGCCGCCCCAGCGACGTAAACAAGTCCGCTGGTTGATTGTTGGCGTCGCGTCCTCGTCTGTCAGTTTGGCGTGGTGTTTTGCGGCTGCATCAACATGGACCTGAGTGCGGAAGAACGGTTAGGTTACGATCGTACAGGGCCGACTTCAAACGCCAAGTGATCGTTTACGCAGACCAGCATGGCAACAGGCAAGCCGGGCTGAAGTTTGGTGTGGATGAAAGTTGTGTCCGAGACTGGCGGCAGAAGAGAGTGACACTGTTCAAGTGCAACAGGGACAGTAGAGAGACAAGGTGTTTCCTGGTCGCATATGCCCTTTCCGCCCTGGAAAGGGCGATACTACTCGCATCGCAAAACCCCCCAGTGTGTACTGGTCGCCAAGGACGACGTAGACCGAGGGGGAAATCACTCGCGTAGTAGTCGGGTCACCGATTCCTAGTATTACGCGTAATAGTAATAGCGTAATAGCCAAATTTTTGAAAGTTTTCCCTATTTAGAGTCTGATTTTAGCCTAATTCTGGATATTTTCGAGCGTAATAAGCCTTCTGTAATAGCGTAATAGAACGTAATAGGGAGTAGTCGGGTCACAGGTTTTAAGAGTGATTTCCCCCTCGACGTAGACTGACTTGGGTCCATCAATCGTTCTCTTAGCGCCGGATCTCAGAGTAAATGCTCTGGTCTGTTCTGCTCTGCTCTGCTCTAATATGTCTTCGCAAAAAAACCATGCGTATGTATTTCACCCTCCTCCCAGCAAAAC